TATAATGTAGAATCATATAAAACCAAACATTAAAATTTATATAGCAAACAAAATTTTTAACTCAACATAGTGTCATTGATACTGAGACCATAATAAATTAACTGTACAAACTGACAAGTTGAAAGATCTTGTGGACTTATTTTTGACCTAAACTTAACAAAAACAAGAACACAAGAAACAAGTGTATATATATATATATATATATATATATATATATATAACAAATAAATAAATGATTAGGTATATGTATAATAATATATATATATATATATATATATATATATATATATATATATATATATATAATGATTTATGATCTCAACCACTAGAAAAATCGAAAGATTAAATAGGAAACTAACACGGAACATGCTGTGATTTTTATAAATATAAATAAACATATAAATATATATATATAGAGAGAGAGAGAAAGAGAGAGAGAGAGAGAATGAGAGAGAATGAGAGAGAATGAGAGAAAACAGAGAAAGAGAGAAAAACAGATAGAGAGAGAAACTTAGTATATATATGTTTATATATGTGTACATCTTTATATTTCTAATATTTATATTTAAATATATAGAAACTTAATATATTTATATATCTATATATTCATATAATATAATATATAGAAACTTAAGCTTACGTGACACGAAAGTGATCACGTGATACACTGAGTGTTCAAAGGACGGTTCGTGCCCTGGATAAATATCTGCCCATTAGATCTGCTTGGCTCGTTAGAATTTCTCTTTTCAGCTAAGTGAGTTTTAAATATTTTTAGTTTATTGTTTAATTTTATTGTTTACTTTTTTAAAGTAATTTTAATTTTATAGTGTCTAAGTTATTTTTTTTAATTTGACCTATTAAAAGTCAATCAGTCATGGATCATATGAACCTTGATTTCTTGATCAGTTACTAACTAAATTGTGATGACTTTTTTTTATTTAATTATAAAATAAATACTACTAAAGTACTAATACTAGAATAGATAGAATAGAGGCAATAGACTAGAGTAATAGACTAATGTACACTACAACTACACTACAACATATCTCAAATTTATTAAAATTTGTGATAATCTCTTTGGAGCTTTTATTTTTTAATTTTGTCTTCCTCTGTATTTGTATTTTAACTATTACTATGTGTTTGTGTACAATTGTACATACTACAAACTACACTAACTACTTACTTAGCTTAACATAATAATTAGTTTATGTAGTTAAATAGTTTATGATAAACTTTTATTAGCTTTGTAGATTAAAGAAATGTGTTTATTTGTTTATTTTTATATATCAGGAATCATTATGATTAATGAATTATAATGATTCTGTAGATAGACTATTCAAATATTGATATAAACAGTTTATTATAAATTATATTATAATACTGTCTTTTTATTTTAATTATTCTCCTTATTTAACTATCATATTAATTATATATAAGTTCAAATTTAAATACAAGTTTCAAGTTCAGAAAACTCAGTATATTGTTTAGAAAAAAAGTTTTAATTAATAATAAATAGATACCTAAAACATTTCAGTGTAGTTAGAGATTGTTAATGTATTTCCGATGTCATATTTTAAAACCCATTTCATTTTAAACTTTTATATAGTTTGAGTTTGTTAGTTCATTAATTTAATCTTAATCGTGTCACATTTTAGAATATTTTTCATTTCATTTTAAACTTTCATAAAGCACCTGGGGTAAAAGAAAAAGCTTAGTGAATGAAACCATGTCAGAAGGGGGGAGTGCAGTTAAAGCTGGAATGAATGTGATTGGTGTTAAGAAGAATAACAATGATGAAAATAACAATGCATCACTCAAGTCTATTAATGAAGCTGGAACTAAGGTACTACTATATGAATATTATTTAGCTTGATTGTTCGTTCATTCACTTTTTATTCATTGGTTCATTTGCTCAGAGGTTATTCATTCATTCATTCATTCATTCATTCATTCATTCATTCATTCATTCATTCATTCATTCATTCATTCCAATTATTTGTTTTTTTAAAGCAATTTTTACATCCATACATTGCAACTTTCAAAAAATCTGTGATCAACTTCAATACATATTTTTTTTCAAAAAAAATAATCTTTTTTTAGTAAATAAATAAATAAATCTTTTTAATAATCTTCTTGAATAATCTATTTTAATTTACTCTTACAAGAATGGATAGGATAGAATAGTTAAAATATATAAAATGTCTATTCAACAGTTTAGTTCAAGTACCTACATATCATACAAACTATTTCATACAAGTACCTGCGTACAAACTATTTCATACAAGTAACCACATACAAACTATTTCATACAAGAACCTACATATACATACAAAAAAGATATTGTTGTTTATACACATTCTATATAAGCAAGGGAGGGAGTTTCAGGTGCGATGATAGGGGAGTTTCAGGTACAATGTGTAAATGTGCTGGCATGTTAATTTGTGGCTTTTAGATTTCAAACGAGTACCTACGTATACATACAATACAAATATTGTTGTTTTTACACGTTCTATTTAAGCACGCGCGCGCACACACACACACACGCACATACAAACATACATACATGCATACATATACATACATTGCACACACCTACACATACAAGCACACATACATGCATGCATACGTACACATACATGTACATACCTAAACATACATATCATCTACCTGTAAAAACCAGGGAGGACCAAAGCTCAAAGATTGTTCCAACGATCAACCAGACTTGCATCATTAAAGAGATTTATTATTAGAAGACATTTTTATATTTTTTAAAAATTATTCTGCCATTGTTTTTATCTATTATTATGGCTATTATTATTTTTCATTGTTTTAAAATTTATTTCGAAATTAGGTGAAATTAGAAATTCAATCAGCCATGAGCAGTCTGCATGATGCACTGAGAGCCAGAGAACTCACTCTCAT